GATCACTGACTGTTTTAGGAGCTTTTTGAGATCAAATAGAAGAAAATACAAAACATTAAACATGTTGACAACACAAAAGCCATATTAAACGCAGACTACTTTAGACCCGGAAGTAGGATTCGTCACGTCATCACTTAATGACCGGATACATAAAGGCCTGTCTTCCACATAACCGGGACTCAGGGTAAAGTCAAATGGACAGGGGACACCATTCCCACAGCCCTGCACACATTCCAGAGCTTTTGTTGTATCTCTTTTTTTAGGTTAATCTTTTTGTTTATAGTAATTTCTATTAGCTTTACTGTCTAGTTTCTGTTCGTGATTATTATGTGTATTGTGTTTTTTCCTTTAGCGTATCCTGCCTTCAGTGTTTCCCTGTTACCCTGTTGGTGTTCCCTGTTTAGTTATTTCCTGATAGTCATGTGTTCTTATGAATTGCATTCAGTTTTTGTCCCATTTGATTAGTCATAGCTGTGTCAAATCACTGCCTATTTTAGACTTTAGTTTGTCTGAATAAAAATGAATAAATAAATTCTATTACTGGCTGCCATTGCACAGTCTGCTCACGTAAATATTTTTTTGGGAAAAGGTTTTTAAGGTCAGATTTTGTTACGGAAATAAAAATCATTTTAGAGCAGCTTGCTAAAGGTGGCCCAAAACGTTCCAAGACCCCCTCAATATACTGAGGTGGTGTGGGATCATATTGACAACAAATGTTTGAGAACTATTCATGAAGTCTAAAAGAAATTACAAGAAAGCTTCCCAAAGGGTTCAGGCTGTGTTAAAGAACAAACGGGGGTAATACCAAATATTGAATCAAGCTTATCAGAACTGAACAGTTTTTGCCTTGGATACTGTATTTCTGTGTATATTTGTACATTTCAATAAATAAATGCACAAATTTTCCATTTTCCATGCAAAATATAAGGAATCTATACATGTGTGAATTCATCAGATTCCTAAATACAATTCAGTAAAAAAAAACCTGTGTTTGTATCATGTGGCTTCGACATCATGGTTACATAAGAGCAAGACAGACCTTCAGTTTTCACTCTGATATTTTGGAATTAAAGCCACAAGTCTTGTCTGACCTAAACCTCCTGATCATCAGTTTACATGTGCCAGCACGTGTTAGCGCTAACTTCAGTTTCCCCTGAACCATGTGTCACGTGCCGGGAAAACTGAGAGACACATGCTGCTACTCGAGCATAAGCATGAGCAGCATGCCTGGTTTTTCAACAAAGAAGATCATTTTTATTTGAGATTTTCATTACCCCCGTGTGAACTGAGACCAGCCATGGACCAGCATTTTCAAACCGAATATTTACTTGTAACAGATACAAAAAGATATCTCATGACTAGCAAGAGCACTCAAAGACCAAACTCCTTTGGGTTTCCCGATGATCATTATTATCAGATATATTTTTCAGTCAGTAAAAGCAGCAGTTTATTTTGTGAGAAATATACAGATATCAGGTGCCAGCACCAACCCCTTTATGTGAACATTTATATTACTACATTCAGATAACTTTAGCTTGAGCAAGCAAGGTAACAGACCGAAGCTTCCTCTTCTTGACAGAGCTAACCACTGTTAGCTCAGATTCTTGGTTCTAACCCCAGCTGGGTTTATTCTCCTTTGGACCCTGACTTTTTTCCAAATGCTTACATTTTTGGATATCTAGTTTGTGTGTTTACATCAAGTTGAACAGTGCTGAATTAGCAAAACCAATCACCTGCTATCATATTTATATTTATTTCACCTCTCTAAATGTGACTATCCAGAGACCAGGAAACAGCTTCTCTCCTCCTGTTACACCCTCCAAACAATTTAAACACTAAAAAAACCCACAAAGAAAGAACAATATATTATCCACAACTGCACTAAAGAATAAAGCAGTGAAATGTGAATTAGTAAACATTAGCTCTCTCTCTTCTAAGTCCCTGTTAGTGCCTGTGAATTAGCAACTATTTGCAAATTGATTTACTCTGCCTTCCAGAAACCTGGTTACAGCAGGATGCTTATGTTAGTTTAAATGAATCAACACCCCCGAGTCATTCTGATTGTCAGCTTCCTCAAAGCACAGGCCGAGTCTCTGATTTCTCAGACTTTTTATCTGATTTAGTTCTGAGCTCAGATAAAATAATTATTGTGGGTGATTTTAACATCCATGTAGATGCTAAAAATGACAGCCTCAACATGGCATTTAATCTGTTATTAGACTCAATTGGCTTCTCTCAAAATGTAAAAGAACCCACCCACCACTTTAATCACACTATACAGGGTGGGCCTGTTTGTGGCACATTAGTATATGTGAGGGGCAAACTCCTCAAGATGGGCGGTGACCATGGTGGCCATTTAGAAGTCGGCCATCTTGGATACAACTTTTGTTTTTTCAATAGGAAGAGGGCCATGTGACACATCACACTTATTGGTAATGTCACAAGAAAAACAGTGGTGTGCTTGGTTTCAACGTAACTTTATATAACATAACATTTACATTCACAATAATTGATTACACAGCAGTGGGGAGTAGACTTTATCACAGTAGATGTCTTCAATTAATTCATGCTTGAGTCTTAAATATGATCAACCTTTCTCTGTTAATGGGTTGTACCACAGGCCTTTACACGCAGTAATTAAACCTTTACTTAAAAAGGCATTACTTGACCCAGTTTCTTAGCTAATTTAAAGCCACTCTCTAATCTGACTTTTGTCTGAAGATTTCTTGAAGGACAAGGTGTAAAACAGCAAACTGATCATCTGCAGAGAAATGCTTTATTTAAAGAGTCTCAGTCAGATGAAAGGCTACCAATGATCTTCTTATGGCCTATGTTTCTGAACAAAATCATTTTTAACTGCGCTGCTAATGTTCTTATATACAATACAAAATTGAAATTAAAGCATACATTTAATTTATTGCTGGATGTTGTGATGCCCAACAATTATTGCAATGCAAATATTTCACGCAGAGATCACTCCTCGGGCTCGCTACTCGAAACTATTGGAAATCTTCACTGTTCACGTTTTCCAAATAAATGAACAGTTATAGTGGTAACGATCCCAGTCACATCTGCTTTCTTGGTGGAAAGCATTACTCAAGTTATCTGCCACTAATCTTAGTATATCTTTAGTATATCACCTTTGCGAATTATTTTAATACTCTGGTTCCAAACCTTTGCACTGTGAAAGAGACACAAATCCAACAACTGGTACGTATCCCACAAATAAGTGTCCAGGCTGAACTATTTCTTTCTTCAATGATTTGGTTAGCTCGTTATACGTACAAAAGCTCTATGTGCTTACAGGTAGGAGAGGATTAACCTTCAAATTCAACCTGGTCTTAATGAGCGACAACGGATTCACAACAGATTCTTTCTTCACGCATCAGGTGACCAAACAGCCACCACAGAAGCCAACGACTTCCACACCCAAATATTCTCTCTATCCTATCGCTGTGATTGTAACGTATGAAGTATTTACAAAACACTGGGAAAATAAAAAGAAGAGGACCGTTTTCATAACAAACTTTATCACAATGTTAAAATGAGGGACTTCTGCTTTTCTAATTTTTGTGCTTGTTGTTCAGCTGCCAAGTTTAATTTGAATTTTATTGAAATGATTGTTGCTTATTAATGATGGTGAGTCTTTCTACAGACAAGCAGCAAAGCCCCATCTCTGCATGTCTGGAAATCTTTCTTAGTGAATGCCATTGATGTGTTTTGACCTTTAATAAAAAATAATCACTGATAAAATCCTGTTTTCAGAATTATGCAGTTCAGAGTGTGTTATTACAACTGTTCTTAATACATCTGCATTTTTAACAGAGTGTAACTTAAACATGTACAGAAGTAATTTCGACTTGATAGGATGACTTAACAGTCAGATGCCAGAACATACCTCTTCAATTTATTTAGATCCGCTGAGTCGGAGAAACAGTTTTCATGAAAACTGCGACATCAGAGTATGAGTCTTATTTTTATCTCGGGGTAACTGTGAGGGCACGTGCTCCCCTCCCTCAGACAAACTGTCGTTTTCAACAGAAAACACCAAAAATATATATATATTTTTTTTTTTACAAAATACCAATACTTTGTGTTTCAATAAAGAAAGAATTCCAAGTGCACCAATCACACATTTACACATAAATAAGCTAACCAATCAGCAGTTAAGGGGGTTGTACTGGCTGACTGGTTAAACCCAATGGTTGTACCACAGCCCAAATGGACTGAACCACTACAGATTTAAAGGGGAAATGGCCCCAAACTCAGTTAAATATCAAAAGTGCACAGAAAAATGCAAACAAGTTAAAATTACACACAGCAATCACAGGAGCTATAAAATAAAATGAATAAGAAAAATCTTTGTCCTTTTCCATCTTGGAAGCTGTGCCAGAAATGTTTGGATATCTATGTTGGCCGAAAGCGGCAACTTTGAGTGGCTGTATGATTAATCGATATTACTGGGACTACAAACTTAAACACACTGAAACCACAAAGCTTCCAAAACCAAATTCCTGGCCAGTAGATCATGCAGATTCATATGCAAGATCTGGCCATTCAGAATATAACGGCTGTTATAAACAAATGCACTTCAATAAGTTACTTTCCAGATGTGTGTGTGTGTGTGTGTGTGTGTGTGTGTGTGTGTGTGTGTGTGTGTGTCTTACCACAGCAGGGGAGTTTACCACAGCCAGATTGTACCCATAAAGCATAGAGCTCCCAAAGGAGGTAAGGAATGCCACTGCCAGCAAAGAGGCAGTGAGGTGCTGCAGACAGAGCAGGAGAGACGCATGCAGAATATGATGGTGAGCTCACAGCTTCTTAAAGTTAAGACAAAACATTTTATACGCTGTGTGAATAAAAAAATCAGTTAAGTTTTAAATTGTCATTTTTTCACCAACATTCACAAATCTCTGATTGTATGTCACATAAGAAAGTTGGCATGTTTGTGTAAAGCAATCAGATTAAAAACATCTTAAAAACAAGTCTTTCACACACACTTTCTTTATATTTAGCTCTAATGAGTCAGACTTTCTGGAAGTCTTTCAGTGCTTTTCTTTGGACACCGGCTACTTTTTATTCATTTTCAGTGCACTCATTGCACCTGACTATCTTTTAGAGGACTGTGTGACTCTTAAGCTATTTAACACTGACTCTTGAATCGCTCAAGCACTGATAAGGCACCAAGCCTTTCCAAGAGAATGAACTGGTGTGTCTATATGTAACAGACAACTCACCAAATTACTCATTTAAAATTGTATCTTCAGACTCTGTGTTTCTATATCATGTTGTAAAAATATATATATAATGTATTACTGTCAGTTTGACAGGCATACAATTGTACTGTTGCACCAAGAGCAGTTAAATGAAAACTTGGTGCATCAGCACGGTGTGTGGTGCACCTTAAAAGGTTATAGGGAATTGCACAAGTGGCGGACATTTAAAAAAAGGACGATGAACATCATGATGAACAGAAAGTGACGGCCTTCCATAATATTGCAAACGACAGATGCAGCACCAGAGAGATGCATTTGGTCCATCTACTGTTTACCAAAGCTTGCTAAATTACACAAGAATTGACCTGAACATCAGTGCGATGGGTCTTATGGAGCAAAAGTAGGTACGAGGTACAACAGATTGTCTACAACCATGTCTATAACATGATGCCGTGGCTCCTTTGAAGTTCACTGTTACTGAAGCAGTATAGGGTTATCTTAACAACAAATAGAAAAATAGTCTGGAAACATGGAAAGAAGAGCTTTGGACTGTTCTTCAAGAAGCTTTTGTGGTTTGACTCCTGGCTCCACCTGCTGCCGCACGGTGCTACATGACAAAAAGGGTTCAGACTGTGTTGAAAAATAAAGGTGGTCATTCCAAATATTATCTTTCAAGCTGTTTTTCCCTGTACATTGTATTTCCATGTGTCCTGACACATGCTTCAATCAACCACCATACCTTTCCCATTTTCCTAGCAAAATATTAAGAAATGAACAGTAGCTTATACACAATACTGTAAGTCTTAACAAGATGTACAAAATCTAAATATCTGCAAATGTCTTTAACTGTATATAAACTTAACACAAAAAGTAAAGGAATTTGTGTTTAGTTAATTATCTTGTAACAATAGCTCTTGGCAATAAAACACATGTTTCAAAAACCTGCTTATTTCCCTTTAAATACAGCCACATTTGTAAGGACGATGACAATGTTAGTTTGAATTATGACCACCAGCCATAATAAATGGTTCGCTTTTGGTCAAAAATCCTGATTTTCCTTTGTCTGTGTTTGGGTCCCTAAAGCTTTATTTGGTGTAATATACAAATAAAAGTAAAAACAGATTCTTACAGCTGAGAGTTTTCATTGATTTTTTACAAATGTACGCGACAAATTAAATTCAGAATGCTTTCTGTTCAGTTATTAAGCTCGACCCACTGAAAACATTATTTTGTTTACTCAGTTTCCAAAAATGAGCAAATCTTGTGTCATTTATTTTAAAAAAAATAGCGACTTCTTTTTACCGCAATAAATTTGTTTCAACTTTCAACCTCACTTAAATAATAACACTAAATAAATTATAAATAAGAAAGCAGAGGCCTCTTCTCGGTATTAAATGCTATTAGCTGCTATAATTAATGTCCAGCATGAGATGGGATCAGTCAGTTGATAGTTCTGCTTCTGTTTAGTGCCCGTCTGTCTGGACTTACCGAAGTGATTTTCCCCGACGGTGGAATTAAAACCTCCTCAGCCATTTAAGAAACGTGTCAGCTGGTCCCAAAAAGTAAAAGAAAAATGTGATTTCTCTACACTGCAAAGAATCTCATCTCCTTCGCAGCAGATGTGGTCAAACAGGCTCTCAACCACAGACTGAAGTATTCCAGGCTTTTTCTCCAATGAGCAGTCTGTTTGCCCCCAGTAACAAACCCACATCGTATCATCACATGACGGAGAGCAGCGTGACACAGTTGGAGAAAAGCCTGCTGGAAGCAATTAGCTCTAAGTCAATTCACTAAGAAAGAAATAGATCTTAGAGAGAGGGAAAGAAGAGGAGTAACAGAAAGGGAACACCAAGTCAAACAGGTTCCACATGTGAGACAAGACAGACGTCAAGAATGAAGGCAAAGAGGAAAGAGAAGATGAGAGACCGTTTACGACAACATGCTTTCCAAAATAAACTCTGTGATCTGCAGTGCACGGCGTATATACTTATCGTGTCAGTAAAAGAGAACTGTCGGTATTTCTTCTGCATTTATAGGAACCACCACACAGTGAGACTGTTAATCTTTGAGTGCATTTGTCCTCAGTGAACCTTCCACCCCGCCCTACCCCCTGTAATCACAGTCATCATGTGCTCATAATTTTGGTTGTAGTTGAAAGAAGAGGGGCAGTGTTTACTGTGACCGTGAACAATCACCTGCTTTGCATTACACATTTCTTAATCCTGTGACTCTATTGCTGTTCCTTGAAAAGCTGGTTTTGTTCTAAAATCCAGCCTCCTGGCACACACGAACTCTACTGCACTCGTTAACTGCAATACCGCTAGATATCTCTGAAATTTGCCCGAAAGTTAAAAGAAAATTTTTTTTGTGGTGTTGGATTAATAATAATGGATTGCATTTATAAAGCGCTTTTCGGGGCCCTCAAAGCGCTTTACAATACCACTATTCAGTCACTCTCACATTCACACACTGGTGGAGGCAGCTACAGGTGTAGCCACAGCTGCCCTGGGGCAGACTGACAGAGGAGAGGCTGCCATATCGGACCATCGGCCACTCTGACCACCACCAGTAGGCAGCAGGTGAAGTGTCTTGCCCAAGGACACAACGACCGAGACAGTCTGAGCCGGGGCTCAAACCGGCAACCTTCCGATTACAAGACGAACACCCAACTCTTGAGCCACGATCGCCCTAGGAAGGATTCGGAAGGATTCGGAAGAATTCGGCTTACTGTACTTTTGTACCTGCATGTTGGTGCAAGCTCTAGGTTACATTAGAACAGAAGGCATAGTAGAAATAAGGTTTGAGACAAAGAATTGCAGAATTATGAAGGTTATATGTGCCAATTTCTGTCCTTTTTAAAACATGCAAAGGCCGAACAGTGTTCTTCGAGTACAACACAAGTCTTCATGCTGTTTTAGTGCTTAAACAGAACTAAAAGTACACGTTAGGTCTGTTTGTAGGACAACACACATCCAGAACAGCATTACCACTTTTTGCTTTTGGCAGATTAGTCCTACATGAAAATCATTTTTAGAAGACAAATATAGAAGAAGACATAAAGTCTGCTCCCCGGCCGCTGCACTGGCGGCTGCCCACTGCTTCACTGGGTGAATGGGTTAAATGCAGAGGAACTATTTCCCTATGGGGACTAACACGCACACTTTACATTCATTTTTGACTCCTCCTGGAAACTTTTTTCATGACACGTGGAAATTCATTTAGTATTTTTAGCCCATTGTTGATTTTATTTTATTTATTTCAGGTTTAGCTTGCCACACTGTCAGGTACTAAAACTACTTGAACAGTGTTAGCTAAGGGACTGTAGTTTTAGCTAAAACACACCTTTTCACCGTGGTAACCACTAAGATTACCACAGTGATTAGAAACTCATTTTCAACCCTTTCAGTACCAACTGTGACTCCTCCAGCTGACACACAACTTCACACCTCACCAACCGCTGAGTATTTAACATTCATTCAATTTTAGTTAACACTACACAGAACTTTAGGTTGAAAAGGTCAGTAAGGCTCCTGTTTCAAAAACACTGAAGTATTAAACAGTTGCCATAAATGTTAACCTGCTAGCACACATGGTAACATGAGCTAGCAGCCATCTGTTGTAAGTAGCAGCTAAGAGACCGTAGAGAGATGAATAATTATGGCAGACTGAGCAGGCGGCAGATGTAATATTGAGTACATTGTGGACACACAGAGAACAGACGGTTGCTTGCTGCACACAGCAGCAGAGGAACTCCAGTTGAACCGAGCAGAGAGTCCAGACTGTGGGAACGACACTCTGGGCGAGTAAATCTGGAGCAGACGAATCAGACGGCTTTCGGGCCTGAAGAGCTGAGTACGTGGAGGCGTGCAGACTAAGCAGAATGCAGCTGAATGCAGGATGAGAGAGAGGCTCCAGTCACTTTTGATTTTGTTGTAACCACCTGTGTGTTTATCATAACTACTACAACACTTTATCCAAAGTTCATTTTTAGCTTTTCCAAAATGCTCTTCTTCGATCATCAATCAATTTCAATTTATGTATAAGCACATTTAAAAACAACAGGTTGACCAAAGTGCTGTACAAATTAGAACAAACAAACAAAAAGAAAACCTCAGCCACAATAATTAATTTGAATTCATAATTGAATTATGTAGCCGTGTTAGATACCGTGCTCTTTGTTTAGGTTTTACTTTCACAAACTGTAATGACATTACCCAAATATTTTGTAAAATCAATAAAACCATTAAACTTCATTTTCATTACTTATTTCATCCAATCGAACTCATAATTGGAAAAGAGAAATGTTGAAATTTAACAAGTTACCTTTTGCACTTCTTTGCCATTACTTCTGTTGTTTTAGGACAGGGTCAGATCTTCCCCGTGTGTGTGTGTAGATTGCTTTCCTGGGTTTAGAGTCTCAGCATTACTATAACGACCCTGGTAAGCACAAATTAGAAGGACATTTTTAGTAAACTATGAAAACCCTCCAGCAAAGCTTTTGCAAGCAGTTGACATGGGAACATTTTTTATTTAAAAAGTCAGACATGCTAGGAGGATTAATACTAACAATCTACCGGGAAATCAAAGTCTCTCAAATTTCACTAGCAATTAAATTCCTTGAGAAAAGCATTAAAGCAGCTGTGTTTGCCTCTGTATGTGAAAAATACAAAAACACTTCAGAAAGGACCGTAAGTCATAAAAACTACTGATGCAGTGAATAATAACCAAAACGGGATGACAGGCACATGCTCCAAGCTGTGCTAGGCATGTGACACTTATCTAAACCAGAGAGACTGCAAACATCAATCGAGACCAGATAACACTCGATAAGGACAACAGAGCTGTGTGAGGGAAAGCACAACAGACTAAATAAACTGTGAAAAGCAGTAAGACTCTCAATTCAGTATTTTAATTCCTAATTTGAAATTTGAGTTCATGCAAATTAAAAAATGAATGAAATGAAGTTTTTTTAATAAAATGTTGGGCTACTTTAACTCAACAAAGACACAAAGTCTCCAGAACTCCAGAAGCAAGAAATGTCAAACTAATTTTACACTGTGGACACAAACAGCCTGCTTTGATCTGAAGTGGGCCAAACTAGTGAAACTAGTGAAAAACAACAACAACTTTAGTGTTGAGAAGTAATGACACATTTAATGTCAGGGTGTGCTGTGTGGCAAGCAGAATAGGGCCCACGTGCAGGACTCGCAGACAACAACATAATGAAATGAATCAAAGGTGACGGCTTTAATGCTGTCACTCTGAAACCTGAAAAGAAATACAAAAACACTGAAACTAAGATCTACGAACTGGGAAACTATTCATAGGATCATTGTAATACATAAAACAAATTTAACAAACTTTCAAGTCAATTTTATTTATACAGCAGCAAGTCACTCAGAGACAGGATATTTCTAACTTTAGAGATGCTGCACAAATGGAAGAAAGCGGTCTGACATATTTGTTTAATATGTGCGTTGAAGGACATGTCCTGGTCAAACATGACTCCAAGGTTGATAAGGTGGGGCCAGGTTTCACAATGAACACACCCGAAACTCTGGCTGATTGGGACCCACACCCAGTTTCACACCTTGGCTCAGGGGATTAGAGGATCATCAGGGGTCCTTTTGTCCCTCTGTGGGGGGAAACTCCCACTATGTTTAAATCTGGAACTCTCCACCATTTGACCTTAGAACTGAAGAAGCTTCTCGGATGAGAGGTGAAACGTCTTCAAGCAACTGAAAGAAGTCCAGACGCTTTTCTTTGCAAGCTCCTTTGATTGTAGCCAATGCAATTTACCCAACAGTCGCTTACTCGCTTTCTTGTTATGATGGAAACGACTGCTTTTCACTTGGCTTGTAGGATCTGCTTTTATCTGATTTTATGTACTAATGGTTTATCTCTAGGTAAGCTAATTTCACACTGATATTACTTTTGCCTGGAATAATAAAAGGGAACACTGTTTAACACAGTCGTTTGACACACGTAAGTTCTGTCACACAATCATCTCCATCACAGCACAGTTTTAGGTAAAATTCATCAAACATCACTATCTGTATTTATATGTTTCTACATTCACCATGTTGCCAAACGTATTCGCTTGTTGTCCTTCAAACGCGTTTGAGCTCGAGTGACATCCCATTCTTAACCAACAGGGTTTCATATGATGCTGGTCCACCTTTTGCAGCTTGAACCCTTCTAGGAAGCTTTTCCACGAGGATTAGTGTGTGTGTTTATGGAAATATTTGAACATTCTTCCAGAAGCACATTTTATGAGCTCAGACACTGGATGACCTGACTTGCAGTCTCCAGCCCTAATTCATCCCAAAGATGTGCTGTCGGGTTGAGGGGGGACTCTGCAGGCCTCTGCAGTTCTTCCACTACAGGCTCGGTCATCCCTGTGATCTTTATGACCTTGCTTTGTGCAATGGTGGTCACTGGAACAGGAAGAGGCCGTCACCAAACTGTTCCCACAAAGTGAGGCGCATGAAGCGTTAATAGCAGGTTTCACAGGAACTAATGGCCTGAGCTCAACTCACTAAAAATGACACCAGACCATAATCACCTCTCCAC